CTTCAGGATCCTGCAACGTCTTACGTATTGAGCGCTGAGCCGCGGATGACTGCTCGAATCGGTTCACCATTGTGAAGTGCATCACTGAGCCTGCGTAGGTAGATGGCGCCTGCTCCTTCGGCACGGCCGTACCCATCTGCTGCAGCATCAAAGGTGTGGCAGGTGGATGTTGGCGATAGAATCCCCAGCTTAGCGGTATTCATGTGCTGATCGACTGAAACAATTAGATTCACGCCTCCTGCGATTGCGCCGTCGCATTCGCCCGTCTGAAGTGCCTGGCATGCTTGATGTATAGCAGTCATAGATGAAGAACAGGCGCTATTGATAACGGCGCTGAATTTGGTCAGTCGGATTGACTTTATGTGAAACTATACCCTAGTTACCGGCACTCACCTTGGTCCGCGTAGGTCGAACACGTTACAGATCCTCGCACTGAGAAGACCAGGGTCAGTCCCTGTGGCTGCATATTCGTGCCGAAAGTCCGGTTCGCGATGAAGCATCTGTTGGTAATCTGAGGTGAAGCAGCCCACAAATGCCCCGATACTCTCCCCAGCAACATCTTCCAATCTCTTACCGGCGTTCTCCAGGCACTCATACGTAACTTCAAGCATACGCCGTTGCTGCGGATCTAGCCACATGGCCTCAATCGGGGTGATTCCAAAGAAGTTGGGATCAAAGTCTTGAGGACTGCCGTCAAGAAAGTAACCTCCACGGACATTGAAACTGCCGGGTCTATTCAGGTTCTCATGGTAGAAAGCATCAATTTTGAACCGGTTTTCGGGTACAGTTGGGGTCTGAACCGATTTCCTGTTAACGAGTACATCCCAGAGATCACAAGGGGCCGTAATCGATCCCGGCAGGCGACAAGCTATATGCTGGTTAGTATAGAGAGAAGAGATGAGTACATATCGGTACCCACCCATGCCGACGATGGCAATCGGCTCAAAGGGGACATGATCCACAGGTGAGCCCTTTGAAGTAGGGTGTTGCGTCATCAAGATTGTAGAGACCTCGTGAAACAAGTATTCAATGACTGATACGAGCTGGGTAGTTATATGGGCTTTTGATCTGGGTCTTAGTGAGAGCTTAACACTTTTGGATGCAGGCTCGAGGAACAGGGATGGATGAGGGGACATTTATACCTTAAAGACGAGTCTGACTCTATTATCCCTCACCAGATGCAGATAATAGAGTTCAGCACACGACTCATGTTTCCCATCTCTTTGGGTCATCTTGCAGGGCGAATCATTCGTTTCTCGGAGTCGCCCACAACATCCACATTCCGAGGCATGCTGTATCAAGTTCACCATTCCTCTTATTCGCAGGTCGGGTTGATCTGAAAGACGTCATGTGTCCAATGAAAATCAACCGGTGATCCTCACTCAGTCCGTCGATGGAAATGGTTTCCTATCTAACATCCATTGGATGGGAAGTTGCGCAAGGAAGCATAACTGGCATGGACCTTCATGATACAATGGGTGGCTTAGACGTTGATCCCTTGAGAGGTTTCGAATGCCACAGAACCACGGTATAGAAGGAATCAATCATGTTCTGAACACACAGCAGAAGCTAAAGCATAAGGACACTCGCTTTCGCCACAAAGCAGGGTAGCGACGCATCCAATGATCTGACTGGTAGGGGGGTACCTTTTCCCTAATGTTTGTTCAAAGTCAGATGGGCTTCTCGATAATGTATCAGGCTCAACAGATGGCGTGGGATGATGAGAATAATAGCCTGCTGGGACTGTGAGGTTCGTAATTTACCTTGCCTGTTGTGATGCACATGGTTCCTTTAGGCAGTTCCGACTCACATGACAGCGACCAACTTGACGCGGTTGCAAATAAGCGGCGTCAGAGAATACCAATGGTCATAATAATGTTTGAATCACGCTACTTTGGACGCTGAAATGAAGCAATGTCCCAATTAGGCGACCAGCATGCTATGGCAGATGCAAGGTGATAATTGAAGGAGTGGGATGAGCAGAAGTCGCGAGTGAATTGGCCCTTCCTTTAGCTCTGTTCGCTACTTATATAGTAGCTGGTAAGGAGAATCTTTTCGGCAGTTTTGTGTTACTAAGTACTGGAACTGATAGAAAGCCCAAGGCCAATGAGGGCAATGGAGGTCATGGAAGGAGTGATTGTCCCTGTTGAGACAACAGATGTCAAACTTCACCGCCCCTGTACTCTCATGCAGGACAGCGATCATGCAGCACGATCTTGTTTCTCGAAAACCTAAAATTAGTGATCACATCACACTTATGAGGCTGGAAGTAACTGTGGCAATCATCCTCTCTAGCTTTTTAAGGGAATCTACAATTACTGAAACCTTTCCAATAGCAAGTGTTTCCAATACATTTCACCCGCTCCCTTCAAGGATGCTGACTATCTACTTCACAGCATAAGGATAGTCCGCAGACCTCGAGGCAGGTCACCGCACGCACATGACAATCTACATAAACTCTAATCGCCAGCTATGGATGCAGAACACATATAGCCATATTCCCCAAAATGAACCTACTATGTACTAATACTATTCATCTGATGTTGCCACGTATGAACACTAAACACAGATTTACTTCACACTTAGCGGATGCAGACAACCATGCCCATCCACGTGGGAAGGATGCTTCCTTATGGATGCAAGCTACACACTGGTATGCCGGTACACATGGGATATCCAGGCCTATGATCATAGTGACATGATCATTATCATAATTCAGATATCCGAGAGGTGTACGTATACTCTCACTGACGCTTGAAACCACTGACGTGTGAAACGTGGCACGTCTGTGCTTATTGCATGGAGTCCTTCAGCATTTGTATACTTCTCTGGTCAGTGGTATCCCTTGCAACTTGGGCATTCTTGACGGAAAGTATAATTTGAACCCGGTTACTACCTACAATACATCCTTGATATACAGTCTGTGCCTTACGCCATTTATGCACAAATCCCCTTGAGTATCTACAGGCTGCCTTCCACCATACATGCCCAAATCCCCTAATTGAACCCAACCTTTGCCTCCTAAGGGATGTGGCCTTTTCGTTCTAAGGCAGTTCTTAGTACCTGAACACATAGCGATTCAAAGTTAGGCACTGATGATCACCTTCAACGAAATGAGATAGATATATTGACAAGAAGATCTATCAGGACAGTTATCTCCCACTCTTTCCCTAGCCCCTTGGAACACACATTGAGATAAATCATCTGTGACAGTTATTTGACCGCGGATCTCATTCATTCCTATCTAGTATATAGTATCTTCCTTTCGAGGGCCACTGCTCTCTTCCCTTTCTCCTCAACAACATAACCATCATCATTAGAATTGTTCCATATGGCTGCTACAACATCCCTGCCACTACCCTAACAGCGCAGAGAACTTATGAGAAGACCACCAAAATACGGGACTCAAAACAGAAAGCTGTCCATCGTAATAACCCAAACCATCTCTAGACTGAAGTAGTAGCTGAGTGAACCAGACATAGTGATGAAGCCCTATATAGCTCTACTAAAACTGTACCTCGTCCTAACCCACATGTAATACCTCACACCTCAGAACTACATCCCTCAATCCCACTATTTGACGTAGTAGTAGTAATGGACATCATCAAGCTAACACCAAATATAGTACGTATACCATGAATTAAATCCCATAACAACCCCCGCCCCCTTTACCAGCCCCATCCAACATCCAATAAAGAAAAAGGTACACAACACAACAAAACCGCCTTTGATTCCATGCAACGGTGCTAGCACCAATGCAAGACACAAAGTCCACTGAAAAGAAGTTACCAGCTAGAGTAAGGGAGTACAACTCCCGACCTGCACTACATTTTCCCGGACTCGGTAGATGTCCAACAACCCCAGCCCGAGACGAGACGAGCAACCCTGACCACGACCCCGACCCCGAGCCGAAGTTGCATCAACTCATCCACTGCCATTGCCATTGCATGACAGGATTACCCAGTCCACTACTACACTACTAGTATATGCAGCATACATGTATCAACGAATGAACTACTACACAAAATCGTATAACACCCCCAATCGAGAACAACCCCCGAAACTAATTCCCGAGAAGACCTGAATCCGATACTACTCATTGTGAAGTGACACCCGGGACGTTCCGAGAATAACCCCCAAGCCAAGCCCAAACCCGCCCGCATCGGGAACCGGAACGGGAATGTAAGTATCGATCCATCGCTCGGCTCGAAAGCAGCAGCAGCAGCAGCAGCCACCACTACCATTTAATTACTATCCAACGCTCGGGGATCTCGTACACGGGATGGGTGGGTGGATGGATCGGAAGCTTCCGCTGAGATACTCGAGTTGTCTCATTGGATGAGGACCCTACTAGTACCCTCACTTCCTTACTGCTCATTTGAGGGTTCGGATGGGATGACAGCAGGAAAATTGAGTTCGAAGTCCGACCGCACGCGGCGATAATGTCGTCACGACTCGGTACCAGAGTTTTTCGAGAATGGGATAAGAGGTAGAAAGCTTCAATGGTTAAGTTTTTACTTTTACTTTTATTACTCGTGACGAAGTTTATTGGAAGTTACTTGACTTTACTGAGAACGGTTATTGGGTGGGTGGGAAAGAAACCGGCTGCAACATTGCAGGGTTGTAGTAGATTTCCATGTAACCAAAAGCAAAAGCAAAAAGTCTAAAAGTAACCCGAACCTATCCAATCCATCTAACCAGCCCAGTGGAAGAGACATCATTGGTATGTGAAATGTGTATGTGAACATGACAGTGGGAGAAAAATATGAGAAACCCAGTCTAAAGAGTCCAAAAAAAGGAAACAATAAAACCAAAACAAAATCAGTCGACTCGCTGATGGCGATTTTTTGTGGCCCAGGAGCGACGATGGATATCAGTAGTCCAAATCCGTAAGCCGTAACATGCAAAAGAAATGTCTAACATCGATCAAGATGTGAACAAAATGGATGAGAAAAAGTGGTGTGGAGAGAAAGAAAAAGCAAGCGCCGATGTTAATGCGTTTACTCGACAGCAGAGGCACCGTCGCCGTGGAGGACGGGGTTGACCTTGGGGTTCCACTTGAACTTGAAGTCCTGGCCGAGTTCCTTGCGGACGGCAGACTTGACGGCCTCCAGGACGTTGGGGAAGACACCGAAGTTGGCCGGGTTGTTGTCGTCGTTGTCCTTACCCTGGAAGACACCGGTGCGCACCAGACAGGTGTTCCAGCCGTGCATGTTACCACCGCAGATGTCGGAGGCCGGGTTGTCACCGACCATGTAGATGTTCTCGGGCAGACGGTTCTCGTTGTGGATCTGCTCCATCCAGGCCTTCATGACCTCATCGGCGTAGGTGTAGGTGGCGCGCTCGGGCTTGCCGTAGACGACACGCTCCAGGTCGACACCGGTGAGGGCCTTGTACTGAGCCTCAATGGAGATACGGAAGAGACCCTGGGTCAGACGGGGGGGACCCTTGTGGTCGGTAGGGAAGACCAGGTCACCCTGGGAGAAGTAGACCGGGATGCGGGAAGCAACGGGGTCCTTGGCGCGGGTCAGCAGCTTTCCGTCCTCGGCCAGGAGGAGGTCCATGATGAGCTGCATGTCAGTGGCGTAGTCGCGAGAGTCGGCGAACACCAGGATAGCGTCGAACTTGATCTTCGAGAAGTCGCGGGGCTTGGCCTCGAGACGGTCCTCCTCGTGGAAGCAGCCCCATGGGGAGATGGTGGGGTCCCAGGCGAGGACATCCTTGGGGTGGATGACGTTCTTGAAGCCGTAGTTCTCAGCGACCTTGCGGATCTTCTGCTTCTCACCACCGCAGACCAGGACGGTCTCGTAGTACTCGGCCAACGCCTGCATTGGGGTGTGAGACTGGATGAACTGGTCGGTGGAGATGGGGCAGCCAAGGACCTCGGTGAGCTGGGCGCAGCGCTCGTCCTCGGTCTTACCACCACCGTTGGTCAGGAGAATGTAGGGGATCTTGATGCCCAGTTCGTTGTCACCGTTGAGCATCGCGAGGGCCTCCTTGGCCTCCGGAATGGCCTCGTTACCGTGGGCCAGGACACCATCGATATCGAAAGCGAAGGCCATGTTCTTGGCGGCAGCGACCTTCTCCTTGGACATGTCCTGGACCTGAGAGGCCAGAATGTCGCGGGAAACATCCGCAGTGACCACCGAGGAAAGACGAGAGACACGGGGAGATCTGGGGATGGGCAGAGAAGTGCCAAAGGAGTTGCGGGAGCCACGACGGTCCCGGGAGGAGGGAGCAAAGCTCAGGTTGTGCATGTACTGAGCAGCATCGCTGATGGAGCTGCGAGTAGCGGGGATCTCGACAGTGTTGCCAGCATCGTTGGGGATGGGCAGAGAGCCAGCAGCGCTACCACGAGCATCGCGGGGGGAGCGGGCACCCGGAGCAGGGGCAGCGTCCACGGCGAAGTCAGCGTCGTCGAAGCGAGGCATGATGAATTGCTGAAGGAATTGAGGTTGTAGAGGGGTTCAATTGACCAAAGACCAAAGGGTCAGGAGAGTTAAAAGATTATATAGGAGGGGGAGGAGGATGGATGATAAGATAGGAAGGATAAAGGATGATATCACTCGGAGACGAAAACAGGAAGACAACCAATGGGCGTCACCTGCAAGCAATTGTCACCGGAGGAAGATGGAAGAGGAGGATGATGTGAAAGAGAAGGATGAAGATGGAAAAGAAAGAGAAGGGAGGCGAAGAGGATCATATATAACAAGCTTTCTTCAGCAGAACTACAGTGGCGGTAAGGTCCCAGCGGACGAGGGGAGAAGGCGTACCACCGACAAGGAGGGTGTTTATCCTGGGTGCAGCCATACGGAGACAGCGCTGCGGCCAAATCAGCCATCCGGATCCACCGACTGGGTTGGGAGGGGCGTATCATCATCCCTAGGAATTCTCGTCGTCATTATTTACGGGGAGATGATTAGCTGCGACATTTCGTAGTTTCGCTGGAGGGAGAGCGGAGCCAACAATGGCAGCTTGATGGATGGATGTAGTTTAGTCTAGTAAGTAACTGGTCTTACAAAAAAGAAAGTCCACTACTTTTTTTTTCTGGGCAGGTTGTAGGTGGAGCTCTGTTGTAATCTTTCAAGACTGTGACCGCTGGACCCTGGCTGGTGGTAATTTATGACATGCTCAATACTACGACATACACAGCAGACACACACACACACATACAGACATAACAAATGCCAATGCCAATTACCATGCAGGTATTCAAGTTACTACTCCTTTCGGAACAGTTTCGGGGCGGGGAGTTCTGAGGCATTAAACAGCACACACACACACACACACACACAAAAAGTCCCACTCTTCACACCACTTTCACTGCCGGCGCAGTATCGTGGCTGCAGATGGCAGCCTGAACTTGCCCACCGCGGCGGGGCGGGAGGGCTACTGGGGAGTGGCATCACCAAATATTGTGAGACATTATTGGCCAGGCTGGAAATTTGTTCGCAGGACGAACCACTCAAGAAGGAAGAAGCTGCTGCAAGTTGAGTGGACAGGAGGGGGTGCCAGCGGGACTGTGTGGGACAATGATTGGTCGCTACGGGCATTCCACTCACGAACGAGCCACAGATCGCTGGAGCCGATGACGATCGAGCGGGCGGCGGCGGGTCAAACGCTCGCGCCGTTTCGAAACCAATACATCCAATGATGTCATGGGCTCCATGTCTCTCGTTTTTTTGGTAATTGCAATTTCCCCCGTCTGCATTGGGAAATGAGAAATTCAAACTGAATTAATGGGATCCAGAAAAAAGTGGATTTTCTTTCCTCAGGCCAAAAACCAAAAACGTGTCCATGCCGTCATGGGAAGCTTCACAGGAAATTTGTCCAGGAGCTCCCCCAAGCTCGAGCTTGGAAAAGAAAATTATCGAACACCAAGGTCAAGCGTGGATGGTTCTTTTCCAAGATAGCTTGGTGAAGTAAAAAGTACAAGTGTACATACCCGCAAATCGAAAAGTCAAAGGAAAATGACCCTGCATAATATAATTAGTAGCAGCAATAGCATCATACCCCTCATCAACACACCCCCCTCCACCCCACTTGCTGTTCTTGCCTGTAAAGTTGCCTTCTCAACGAGAGCCCCTCCTCGCCCATACCACCAAGTAACTTCTTCCCCTCCCACCCGCTATTTGTACTCATCCCTCGGCTTCTCTGCCTCTTCTTCCTCTTCCACTATACCAAATATACCCAATTCCTTCTTTTCACCATCACTTCGATACCCTTACACAACCATGTCTTCCGGACAGTCCTTCACTCTTAGCAACGGCGTCAAGATCCCCGGCGTCGGTTTCGGTACCTTCGCCAACGAGGGTGCCACTGGTGAGACCTACAAGGCTGTCACCTGCGCTCTCAACACCGGATACCGTCACCTCGACTGTGCCTGGTACTACCTGAACGAGGGTGAGGTTGGTGATGCCGTCAAGGACTTCCTCGCTGCCAACCCCTCCGTCAAGCGTGAGGACATCTTCATCTGCACCAAGGTCTGGAACCACCTCCACCGCCCCGAGGATGTGCAGTGGTCCATTGAGAGCTCCCTCAAGAAGCTCAAGGTTGACTACATTGACCTCTTCCTCGTTCACTGGCCTATTGCTGCCGAGAAGGAGACTCAGGAGAAGCCTAAGATCGGCCCTGATGGAAAGGTATGTCTATTTTCCCTCATAATTCTAGCATCAGAGCAGTGCTGATTTGATACTCCTATAGTACGTGATCCTCAAGGATCTCACTGAGAACCCCGAGCCCACCTGGAGGGCTATGGAGAAGATCTACAAGGAGGGCAAGGCCAAGGCGATCGGTGTCTCCAACTGGACCATCGAGGGTCTGGAGAAGCTCCTCAAGTACGCCGAGGTCAAGCCTCACGTCAACCAGATCGAGATCCACCCCTTCCTGCCCAACCAGGAGCTCGTTGACTACTGCTTCAAGCACGACATCCTGCCCGAGGCCTACTCTCCCCTGGGCTCTCAGAACCAGGTCCCCACGACGGGCGAGAAGGTCAGTGAGAACCAGACGCTGAACGACATCGCCAAGAAGGGCAACTACACTCTGGCACAGGTCCTCATCGCCTGGGGTCTGCGCCGTGGCTACGTTGTGCTCCCCAAGAGTTCCAACCCCGCCCGTATCGAGTCCAACTTCAAGAGCATCCAGCTCACGGATGAGGAGTACGAGGCCGTCAACAAGGTGGCCGAGGGTCGTCACTTCCGCTTCGTCAACATGAAGGACACCTTTGGCTACGACGTGTGGCCCGAGGAGACCGCCAAGAACCTGTCCGCTTAGATGATGATAGAGAGCGATTTTTGATTTATGCAGGCCATAAACCAGTAAAATTGGACCGAATGAGCTTATGAGTGGATGGACGAATTGAGATGAAATGTGTATCTAGCAATCAAAGCAAAACAGATTACACCACAATACAATACGTATAGAAAGCAATCCATGTATTTCACTTTCATTCCCTTTCCCCCTTAAAATGATACAAAATAGACGAAACAAAAAAGAAAAAGAAAAAGGGCCATCATAAAAAATAATAATTTAATAATAGGAGACCACCTATCCGCCAATCCCAGCCATCAAATTGTCGCTCCCACCAACAGTTCGCAAATGAAACCTCAACCCATTCATGCATGCATGCATGTGCTTGCCAGCCGAATCACAGCAAACCTAAGTGGCTTGATGGAGACGAGACGGGAGAACGGGACTAATCCTAGTAAGTTAGGTTACTTACTCGGAGTGTCGGAGGACTGTCCTCCATGCGTTGACGGGGCTAGTGCGCAATGACGTCAGAGCAATACCTCCATTCCTCCCTTGAACATCCAACAACACAAAATATTTAAGACACGAACAAAACAATCAAGATAGCAATCTCTAAGAATAATGAAATAATAAAATAATTAAGTGGCAAAACTTTCATAACGGGCAGATCTAGAACCTTCATCGACCACACCATTAACATATTTCTTTGCATGTATACTAAAATTAATCCTTGTATTAATTCCTTTATTGCATGGCAATGGCTTTTCATCATATCATGATGTATGTATGTATCAAGCGTACCTGGAACCAAAACAATTAACAAACAAAGGAGAGGGGGACCGGTACTCTAACCGAAGCAGGCTAGTCATGGCTCGTGTCGGGAAATCTCGGAATATAGGTAGGACCCGGGTTCCTCCTCGGTGGGCAAATGTGGAAGAAGCCCTAAAACACCGAATGGCTGAATTGGGTAAGGGGCTTGCGTGTTAGTGGTTAGTACTGTTTGGGGGAGTGGGGAGGGGGGGGTTGGTTGTGATGGTGCCCTAGCCCTAGCTAGTACTTGGTATTCAATTATTTATCTGGTTGATGCGATACTACTACGGAGTAAGTAGTAGTAGTAGTACGTAGAGAGGGGTAAAACCCCCAGTACTTACTAGGATTTGTCCAGTCGGGATAGAGCATGGATGGGGTTATGGATACTGTGCACGGAGTACATTTATCGGGATTGAATGTGATACGGTGGATTGGATGGTATACCAGGAGTACTATCTGCGTGTATATTTGAGGGATTATTTATGTTGGATGGATGGATGGATAATGGTCCACTTGGTATGTTTCTGAATACGGAGTATAACCATCAATCCATCCATCCATCTCAGTATCTTCGCTACCTACTTACTTATCTAGTCGGTAGAAAGATATCATTCGTCTAGAGGAGTAATAGAGGAGTAGCAGTGCTATCTACCATATACACAGGTTACGCCTGGTTGGTTGGTTGGTGGTACTGGTGCCTGAATCCATCCAGGATCAATCAATCAATCAGACAAACATATCAGAAATTCGGATCCATCAACCCTGCCACATACACCAAAGTACTTAGTACTTACTAAACTACAAGAATAACCAAGTAAACACGTATCTTACTTACTCCATAATAAGTATTCCACATCTGACAGTAGCCCGAGTCTACCCGCGATATGCGCCCTGAAATAGGGAACTTCAGCGAAAAGCTAATTGCATCATGGGCTGAACTTTGTTAGTTGTTAGTTTGTATTTGTTGTTATTTAGCTTTAGATCTGCGTGGGATTTGCGCTTCGTTAGTTCTCAGTACTAGCTTTGGTGGTATATGGAGTGGAAGTAGTAAAAGTAGACTATGTACATATTTAGTAGGTGGGATGGGGGATTGGGATGTGGGGTAATTTTTTGAGGTTTGAGGGATTAATGGGAAAGAGGGAGGGAGAGGAATTGGGGTACGTAGTTAGTGTGGTTTAATTGGAGATGTGGTGATTGAGGGGTGGTATTGTGTACTAGTAGTTTGTAGTAGTTGTAGTAGTAGTGTAATGGGTGATCGTCGACATGTGTTTACTGTGACAAAGTTTAAGTTGTTGATGATGATGCTGGTAGTCAAAACTCAGTAGTATATTAGAATGAGGTGTGGTTGTATATTCTCTCCGCACTAGTATGGTCGCAACGGCTAAGGGAATAGATATTTTCCATTAGGCTAGGATGAAATATATCGCCCTACTTTTACGAAACCGATTAGTTCGAATACTAATAATTGCACGGGGTATCTACAACCTCCCTCAATATATATTGTTTTTGTAGTCCACGCGGATGTGATAGTATATCTTCGTTACACTTTCCTATAGCTTACTAGTACTACTACTTAGGACTAACTGGTAGTAACTTATGACCCTCTACCTACAACCAGCCTCTAGTCCCTACTACTATTACGAAGTGTATCTAGTACGTAGTACTAGTACTACCCTCACAACAACAAAATATATATCAACACCACATCCAGAATAGTAACTCACCGGCACCACCCTCCATCAACATCAATATTCCCACTGCATCAACATGCAACCCAGCTACTAACTGTATATGTACAATGCAGGGCGGGAAACCTTATCCCCCAACGCAGACGTTATATCATCGTGCAGAGACATGCAGAAATCCACCATGTACGAGGAAATATAAGGTGTGTGTGGGCGTGTGAGTAGTCTATAGCTTGGATACATATCCATGGATTACCAGGGAACTGCACCTCCGCGGTGCATACTATCAGCTGTAAGGATGTGAGGGTGCTGTGCAGTGTAGATCTGAATGTGATGGTGGAACAGCAAGGCTGAGTGAGGTCCATGTGTTGCATTTCTTGCTTTTAGGTTGTATCAGAAATATACAGGATAGTTACCTACTACTGATACCTATCCTGCTATTGTATGGGAGTAAATGATTAGACTCATATTAACGTAGTAATTCGATTCTGCAACTGCCATCAGACCAAACGCCTTTCCTATCGGTTCCTCCGTATGTACACTAACCCGAAACGCCAAATAAACGAGAAAGCAAACGAGGATATCAACAATATCATATTCACGCGCGCGGACGCATCTTCCGAGGCACTGGCGTCGACCCAGCGTTGATCTTCAGCAGGTTGGTCTTCGCGCTACTGCTGCGGAGTGATGTCTTGATGCTGTCGCTTGCAGGCTTCAACGGCGTCGCCGGGACCCGCCTCGGCGACTTGGGGGTCAGCTTCTTGCGCTGCTCGGCCGTGCTCGCGCTGTTGTCGCTGCTGGGCGACGACGGCGAGGACAGGGAAACATTGCTGACGGCTGTTGCAGCCGTCGAGTCGGCTTTGGGTGCTCCGGGACCCAGCCGGCGCACGCGCCGCGTCCGAGGCGTTGCAGTAGCGGATGCAGTAGCCGCTGCATCGGCGCGATCCTCCCCACCACTCTTCTGCGCCACTTGAGACCGCGTTGTTCGGCTACTGGCTGCCTTTCTTTTCTCGGGGGTTTTGCCCTTGCTTCCGCGGCTCGCAACGTCATGCTCGTCGCCCTTTGCTGCCTCTGATCCGTCGTCGAACTGCACCAGTTCCTCGTCGTTCCACGACACATGCTTCTTTGCCGTTTTGTGTGGTCGCTCCGAGACGTCTCCTGTCGTGTCGCTATCTGTGCAAGGGGCGGTGTCGGCCTTCTTCCCAGATGGCGACTTGCGTGTGAGACCCTGCAAAACGAACTTCGGTGCCTGTGCATTGCCCTTATTCAGTCGCGTGTTTCGCCGCGTCGTAAGGGCCAGCTCCTGGGCCTCGGTGCGCTGCAAGAAGACGAATTCTGTGCCCTTGGCACGGCGGAGTGACAGTGTGTTGCGTACTGCAGCTGCAGCGGTAATGGTCGTCAACAGGTTGGTAGAGCGAACGGTGCGAGGTCGAGTGCTGCGTCGAGGGCTAGATGGCTGCGGACCGGCCTCATCTTTCTCCTTTGTAGGCGACAGCTGAGGCTTCTGCGGTGAGGGCGAGTTGGTGTCAAGGTCCTCCAACGCGCGGCGCGCCGGTGTGGGAGACGCAACAACAACCGGCACCTCCGGTTCAGGCTCACTCTTTTCAGGCTCCTGCTCCTGGGCGACCATAGCGGCTTTGGCCTCACGCTTAGCTTTGGCCTTGGACAAGAAGTTGTTGAGCAACTCAGTATCTTCTCCGTCCAGTGAGCTTCGGAGTGCCGACCGAACGAGCGTTGACTCCTGCACACTCGTTAATTCCTGCACAGGTGCAGCGACCGTAGCCGCGGCCGGATCGTCTAGGGTTTCTACGTCGACAGGCACAGTCGGCTCTTCGTCGGTGCGCTCTTCACCGATCATCGTAGAAACTGTGTCTTCATCATGGCCATCATCCTGCGGAGTCGTAGGTTCGTCTTCAATTGCGTCGGACAGATGCACAGTCGGCTGTTCGATGTCCTCGCGGGTTCTTAAGTCTGGAGTGCCGAACACCATGCCACCAACCACTAGCGGCGACAGGCCATGTAGCGAGCGGCTATAGGCTGCGTCGGACGCCAATTTAGTGGGGGTTTCCGGGATCAGACTGGGGGATTCGTCCATATCGGCAGGGTCCTCCGCGAGCTCTTCCTCCAACGTCGACGTGGGCACTTCCTGGTCGTCCTTCACATCGTCACACGACTCTTCTGATTGTAGGCTGTCATTTTCAACCGGCTCATCGGGGATGTCGACAAAGTCACTGTAGATTAGGGGAAGTTTGCCTGGGGTCGTTAGTCCATTCGACTGGATAATCTCTTAAAGCACCAGGAGGATAAACTCACGTCGCCGTCCATTAACCTCGGACTCCCACTGTGTTTCCAAGAACGAGCGCCCGCGCACACTGTCCTCCAAGGCGTCCGCTTCCAGAGCGAAACACCTGCGCTTGACACCGCGGCGGAGGCCGGGGTTCCGCGACGTGTTGATCTCCAAATGTAGGTCGTCGTCGACGGTATGACGCTCTGCCGCAATCAATTGCTGCAGAGCTTTCATGCTGTTAAACGAAGTGCGAAAGCGCTTCCAGACCTTACGCGACTTGCCGCGGGCGCGGAATGCGGTTGATGGTTTGCGTTCCCAGGGACGGGGGGCGGCTCTGGTAGCTTTGACGGGGGTAAATCTGAATCGGTCCTCCTGAGAGAAGGTGGTTCGTAGATGTGGAGGGCTGCAGAGAGAGTAAGATGTTAGTGAGGGGAAAACAAGGCGTCGATCACGGCTGAACGATGTTTATCGGAGAACTGTCGATGGTGGGAGAAAAGGGGGGCCGCAACATGGCGGTGGCGCAACAGATCTCCCACATTGAGTTCCAAACAGACAGCGGACATTTAGGCCGCCCAAAGAGAAGGATGGACTCACCATGCCTGGAATGTGTCGGAAGGACAGACGAAGTCCGCCATCTTCATGGTGAATCCGCGGCGGAATGTGTGTTTCGGCGCTGACGTCAAGCGAGATCGGGAAGGAGGGACTTGAAGCCGGTAGATGGTGAATTTGTAGAATATAACGAGATAATTTACCGGGCTTCGCTGAGATAAAAGGATGATACCGAATAGCGATACTGAGTAACACGGGAATATCCCAACGCGAGCAGGATGATGGAGGAGAGTGAAGTGGATTTGCTGTTGTTGGTCCGGCCGCCGTTTGTTCTCGTTGCCCTGCCAACCATCAGAGTTGTAGGGAGGATTACCCTCATCTCCGCTATCTGCAGACTACCATCATCTTATTTGGGCCTTCAGAACATTGATGATTGGCTAGCATACTAGACTCCATACATTTGATTTTACTTAATGATACTTAGCTCAGCTACCCATATATCGAAGTCTAATATATCCAGGGCAGGATTCTCCACCGGACTGCCCGCCGATACTTCTCCCAGTCTTCGCCATACTTTGCCGCACACATAGCATCGTCTCTACGTTCCCGGTGCATCAACAAGATTGCAAAGTACAGCACGTAGAAGTAGGTGAAGATTGTTCCCCAGCCTTGGGCTTCGCCCTGGACGACCTTGCGCCCGTCTATCATCTGGAAGCTCTGAGAGGCCGCCACAATGCTCCCTGCCGGGTAGATGAGATACCCTGCCATGCCCGTGGGCAGACTGAAGGGCAATGCTTGTAGCCAATCTCCAAAGTAGTTGATGTGGCGTGACATTCCCCACCATCCAGCTGTAAGTAGTCTAGTTCCTCGCTTGGTTTGAATGTACGACAGGCCTGCCACACTCGGATCGTTGGGGTGCGTGCGGAACATGTGCTTCTGATCGTTGGCGGCCCGGAAAATATACAGTCCCAGGGTAAAGACGGCGCTCACAGCTGCGATGTTCAACCACCCCAGCTGCAGCGGATAGACAGACAAATAACGGCATTGTGTTGAGTATAGGAAGGGCACCCAGACGAGATCGCCAAAGGAGAGCATAAACCCCATGCCATCAGTGGTGATATCCATCATAGTCAGAAGCCCTAACTCATTATAATGGCTGTTGAGCACGTAGAACCCCTGAAAGAAGGTGATCAATAGAATGCTGTCGGAGACATAGCCAAAATTGCGATATTGCTTGGCGACAAAGGCAAGATCAAGCAGTATCCAACCAGTCAAGCCAGGATACATCTCGCACCAAGTCTTAATGTCGATCTCCCCAAAGAGTGGAAGAGTGACGCGGGGGTTCAACTCCCGGCCAATGTAGAAATCGTAGATGATATTTCCTGTCCTCCCACCGGCCGCTAGTTCGCGAAGATCCTTATTGGGGTAGTTGGTGTCCACGCTGAAGCTGCTGATATAGAGGTAGGTGGCGAGGGCAAATGATATCAACACATTGGCCGTCAAGATTTGCACATAGTGATCCACGATATACGTCCACACGGGAAATTCGGCGCCTTGCAAGTATGTGCCAATTGCGCAAACAGCGAAAACGGCAACGCTGGTCGAGAATGCTGTTAAGGATTGTCAGCGCAGTTCAACCGAAGCACATGACAGCCTGGGACATGGATGTAATAATTACCATTCATGCGGTACTCGAGGGGACGACCGTGATGGACCAGTTTAGTGCCATGAACCCTCTGCGCCGGGAGAAGTCTCCAGAGGAGTAAAACAAAGACATAGTATGCCAGCACTGCAACGGTCACTTTCCAGTCGAAGAGTGCCCAAATTCCACCTTCAGGCCACCCGGTCTCCGCGGCCCATTTCTCCCAAGTGAAAGTGCGAGGGCTCAACAGCGAAGGTACAGGACAGCCCGATACATCGTTACAGCCGAAGGCAAAGAAAGTCAGGAGTAGAGGTAGGCCAATAGTGATGGCAGTGGCTCCTAGGCTACCGGTAATTCGTCAATATATCAAGGCCAAAAGGTCCGGGTTAGGCTTGTGCTTACGGTCCACCAAACTCGTACTCGACCACCGTAGAAGAAGCCATCACAACAAGTAATATATCGCCAGTAAGGCGTAATTGGCTGCTAACAAATCAATGTGGTTGAATATTTTATTTCTAATCTAAAGACCTGAAGGTCTCTTTGAGACTTTATAGTCTCACAGAGTACAGGGCAGGCGACAACTAAATTCCCCTTTGGGACTAGCGGCACCGGGTCGGGAACGCAGCGTGCAGCGTGATATCATCTTGGCAACCGGCAGTCCATCCATCTTCCGGCCGATTACAGAAACAATTCAAACAAGTGGTCCACAACCATGGCGGAGTATTGGAAATCAGCGGTAGGCAGAAGCTTTCCAATCTCCCGTGTCTCAGCACTGACTTCGACATAGCCCAAGTTTTGGTGCAAGCAATGCAAGATCTTCATTCGCGATACCGCCTTCGAAAAGTCTCAACATGAGGCTACGGCCAAACATCAGGGTAATTTGAAGCGCTTCCTTCGCGACATCCATCGGAACAATGAACAACAACAGCGCGAAGCACAAAGAGCGAAGAATGAGGTTGAGCGACTGCGCCAGACCGTGGCCGGATCTGCGGGTGGAAAAGATGGGGATGCTGCGCCCTGGAAACGCGCGCCCGCATCGGCGCCCAAACCTCAGGAGCGACCTGTTTCTTTGGAAGAAAGGAAGCGACAAATGGCACAACTAGCGGAGATGGGTATTGCTATTCCGGATGAATACCGCAGTGAGATGGCTTTGGCCGGAGAGTGGCAAACGTTGTCGGAGAAAGTTGTACAACCTTCGGAGGAATCAAAGGCCAGCCAGTCATTAGGGGTACGCAAACGAAAGCATGAAGAGCGTGACGAGGAAGAGGAAGAGGCAAAACAAGAAGCTGAACGATTCGTCAGTAAGGGCTGGGGCTCCCGGACCCGAGTCTATCCCGGCGCCCAAGAGGACACTGATCTTGATGCTCTTTTGGAGTCTACGAAAGATATCAAAAAGGGTAAACCTTCAACTCCTGCTGAGTCGGCGCCGGAGCCAGAGCCTGAGAACGCACCGGAAACCGTTAAGGGCCAGTTCATGCCGGTCAAGTCAGAAGGGGATGCAGCAGCTCCTGAGACTGGTGAGCCGTCTCAGGTCAAGCAGGAGAGTGAGACTGCCCCCTCGGCTCCTGTGACAAAAGAGGAGCCGGAAGACGCTCCAGCTGCGGGGGTCGTTTTCAAGAAGCGCAAGGCCAAGGTCATGAGAAAGTAACGGCACCCATCACGGTTAGCATTTTACGGAAATACATGGAGCTGTTACGTGTTGGCGGTTCTCATCATTACTCCAGTGCAATATTGACGATGCATTACCGTCAGCGAAATCAAACTTGTTGATCGCATCTGCCAGGCGGCTGGGGTCTAGCAAACATTGCACAAGAAGGACGGATGGTAATGCGATTACGATGACAAGTCTTGATCGTGTTTAAGGAATCCGAAGCCGAGCAGCATATAGATGACTTAATCTGGCATCTACAGAATTACAAGTGTGGAACCTGAAGCTGAATATCAAGAACGGCTGGTCCGAGTTGTGCACAGACCGGTGACAGATGCTGGACTGCTTCCATGGGGATACATGCAGCCATCAGCCAAGCTGGTCTACAAGAATGATATGATATCGACATCATACAAAGAGGCGCGACACTGTCAGGTAGACACAAGTAGAACGGCGGGTTCATATATCATAGGGAACGTATTTAAAGACCAGCTGAGGTTTAGCCAAGGCTTCTAGCTGGGATGATGATGAAGATAGTTGCGACTATAAGGTCATATAGTGTTCCATCAATATTATCAATTAGTATAATCTCACACAGCTTCTAAATTGAATCTAAATGAGTGTTGTTGTTGATAGACGCGTGCAGCCATTCATGGTTGTCGGGTTGAGTTGCCACTGGCTGGTTCCTTTTTTTTTTTTCTCTGCCGATGGAAATTTGGCGCAAAACTGGCAAGCGTTGGCAAAAGTCCGGGGGAGAAAAGAGAGTCTTCAAGCGGGCCCGAAGCTCTTCTCTCTTTCTTTCTCTTTTGCGGGCGCAACAACAATTTTAATCGCAATCCCAGCTCCAACCCCCACCCCTAATGCGGAGACTGTCTGGTGCCGAATTGCGTGTTTTGGTGCTATAGTCATTCGGCTCGCTTCTTTTCGCTTATCTGGCCCAGTGCATGGTAAGTTAACGAGAGCTTCTTTCCCATTTGCCTGCCCCGATCTGCCTGCCTCCCGAAACGCGCCCGCCCAACTCCGCTGCCTTCCCTTCTCCAGTCGGGGATTTGGCCGCTCGCACAAGAGTCGACGCTCGCAGAAAAGAAAAGAAGGTCCGGGATGGCCGTTGGATGTTACGAGATGGCAAACGTCTGTGGTGGTTGCGCCGTTGAAGTGCCACGTTTGGGCGACATGGAGGGAATTCCCTGACGGTCGCATTCAACGTCACCTGGGTTCCGATACCAGTACTGCCATCGGATCTGCAAATTTCGAGAAAGACCATCCTGCAAACTGCTCCGTTGAGTTTCTGGCCATCAACTCGAGAGTCGTGGCCTATGAAAGTCCTCTGATGCGCGGTCAAGCCGTGGAGCATCAACAGCAGCTCACTCCGTCGCGACCATGCGCAAACCCAGCCGGAACCCGTTGACTGTCCCTTACATTCACAGCCAGATAACACTTCGGGCGGCAGTTGCGGTGCTTTTGAGGGTGCATGGAATTTCTGGGCCGAGGTCTGGTCACTAACACGCCTGTCTTCCAGACTAGAGAAAATAGCACCTCGCGATCGTTGCACCCCTGCAAGTTCTTTCAGCCGCAGAGTTCTACGTGTCCTCGACAAGTCCTCATCTCACTGTTGGTTTAATCCTATTCAACATTCATTTATCCAGTGTTCTCGAGCTCCCAAGTGAATATACTTCACCATTGAGATGGCCGACACTACAGAGCCGACGAACACGTCGGGCGAGCCGCCTAACCCGGCTCCTGAATCGACCGAATTACCACCTGTTGAAACCACGCAGTCGACAACAACAGACCATTCCCTTCCACCGATAGACACATCTCTGCCTCCGATCGATTCTACTATGCCGGCAATGGACGATCACTTACCAAACCTTGATCATTCGCTGCCCCCGATCGATGCGACAATACCCTCCTTGCCGCCCATTGACACCTCGCTGCCACCACTGGACACCACACTGCCGGCTGCAGATGGGCATTTGCCGGGCGGAGAGCCTGACTTTTCCTTTCCTGACACCAAGTCGTTGACCAACGAAGGTCATATGTCGGAGCCTACGCATTCAGGGCCAGGAACATCCAGCTTTGACTTTACCGAGCAATCCGGACAGTCATCTACGCCTGCTCCTACGTATCAGTCTCCTGTGAATGGCACCCCGCTGCAACAGCCAGCCCAGCAACAGTCGCAACCACTGCAGCAACAACAACATCAGCCGCAGCCAGGGCAGCAGCAGCAGCAGACGACGCCGGGTCACACCCCCCAACCGCAGCAGCCATATCATCAGCAATATGCGCAGCCACCGCAGCATTCACATTCACCCTCCCATCAGTCTACGCCTGCGCCACAACATACACCGTCGCAGCAGCCGCAGCAATATACGCCGGGGCAGCCACAGCCGCATCAGTATCAGCAGCAGCAACAGCAGCCGCAACAAGGATCGGACATGTACCACAACCACCAGAGCCATTCCCCCTCAATGAATGCGCCCTCGATGCAGCCCATGGATCATCATGCCATTTCGGGACAATCGTCGCAGATCCCCCAGGCACCTATTGGCTCACCGATGCCATCCAATATGCCTCCGATGCCGTCAGTGGGCCAGTACATGACCGGATACCCTACCAATGTCGGGCAAATGGGCATGAATGCAAACGCGCAGATGCGCTATCAGCTACCGGGAGATCCCAACAAGCTGTTGTCGGGCGGACGGCATAAGAAGGAGGTAAAACGTCGGACCAAGACGGGGTGTCTCACCTGTCGTAAGCGAAGAATCAAGGTACGTAAAATATGACAGAAGAAAATTCGACCCCTCAGCAATAAATTGCGACGGGATTGGAGGGAGAGAAAGGGGGATGCAGTTGAGTTTAGAAAGGCACAGAGAGGCGGGGAGAGGAAGGAATGGCGGAGGGGGCGGGCCTTTCGCTTGTGCAGCAGCAACCCCGCCGGTCGCTTGTTGTTGTTTGCGCCCACTCGCCTATCGCTGTGCTCCCCGCCTGCCTGCGCTGCCCTTTTTTCGCTGCCATCCCTCAACCTCCTTCCTCGTGCTTATTCTTTTGTTTTATTAATTCCCAAGCTCTAGCAGACCACTATCTGTCGGCTGAGTTTTGCCACTGACCGTTATTATTAGTGTGACGAAGGGCATCCTGTCTGCCGCAACTGTGTCAAGAGCAAGCGTGAATGCTTAGGTTACGACCCCGTGTTTAAGCAGCAACCCACGCCTTCCGCCATTCAGCCTGCTCCCAATCCTCATCCTTCCTTGGTGGTCAATCCTCAGGATCCCTCTACTTCATATCCCGCTGCGCCTCCGGGTTACATGCCAGCTGCCTCCCAACCGTTTGCCCCGTCTGAGTCGCCTGCCCCGCCGAGTGAACGCTACGATTACGGCACTGCAATTGACCCATCGCTGGACGTGAACAACAATAACAACATGGCCAGCATTCAGCACGCCGTGGAGGGAGGTCTGCAGCCAACGGTCAATCCCGCCATGACAAGCACCAGCGCTACCCCGTCAGAGCCGACCAACGTCAGATGTAAGCTTCATCCAAGCGTGTTTTGCGGTACGTCTGTTAACTGTGAGCAGTAAAACAAGTTCAGATCAGCGACCTTCTCGCGCTACGCGGCATTCCGCCTCCTCCCCCTCACCCGATTACCTCCCTCCCGCCAAACCGTCTGGAAGAGATTCAGGCGGTCTTCCTGGCGACGTACGCCCCCGCCATTGACAAGTTCTTCGAGACTCGGTGGTTCCAGGAGAAGGCATTGACACATCTTCTGGCCAACGCGCAGCTCATGGCTGAGTACTCTGCGTTGATCGATGCGTTCAATGATCCCAACCTGGGCGATCCCAATGTGCTGGCGCGGTTGGAGAGCTTCGAAGCGTCGGTCGTCTGGAGCTCCATGACTTTGTGTCGCCATGTGATGAATGTCTCCACGGGAACTCAACCAGAATTCGATCTTTTGGCTGCTGCCAAGCGGTTGGATGTCATTGAGTCGATGATCACGGGAGAACACCTGGACTCGAACCCGCTGGCGCAGTTTCCAACCCGGGAGCCAGCGGCCAACCCTCCTTTGTTGCCCGATCAGCTGACGCAGCGGTCGTTGGATTTCTGGAGCTCGATCGGACACTTCTTGACGCTGCACGATAACGAAGCGAGCTCGGCCAAGGAGATCGATGACACGCTCGCACGGTGCCGTACCTTGCTAGATACCTTTGAGAACCGTGACGTGATCTACTCGATTGCCATTGCCCGGCATCTGGGCCAGCGGTGGGCAGACTTTCCGCGCAGCTTCCCGCAACCAATTACGACGAACGAGAAGGATGCGGGGGCGAAGCTGTACGTGGCGCAGAAGTTCCTGGAGCAGGAAGCGGGCGGCAAAGGCACCACCCAGGTGATCAAGCGCATATGCGGCATGGTGGTTCGGTCCTGGATTGTCTCGCGGGAGTAGATCCGAGCCGGCTGACATGCACTGACGATATCTATTTGCGACCTGTAATATGAAAAAGCGATTGGCGACTACCTTTGATGATGTTTAACTAGATTTTCCTTTCTCTTTACTTTGCTTTGCTCATTCATTGTTGCCAGCTTATTGTTCACATTTTCCCCAACTCTGGCCCAGATTGGATGGAACCGGTTGGTGGGCCATGCTTCTCTCCCTTCCGGAGTGCGGACATACGGGGAAGCCGTCGCATCACGACTCCGGAGTTGATTCGCTTCAGTTTCGCTGCAGCTGGATGGCAATTATCATGGCGTTATTACGGCTGCATTGCTGATAAGGTGGTGGTTTACATTCTTGTCGATTATCTATCTATATCATGGCTCAATTCGCCTGCTTGAACGGGGATGCCCTGACAAGCTGCGAGTCTTTTTTTTTGCAGAAGAATGAATAATGAACATCTTGTATATATGTACCTGCGACTGGCACCCTCTATCGTAGTCTAGTGTATATACTGTGTACAACATGGTATTCATAGATCCGCCTGCTCTGGGATGGGACTCTTCAACTTGCCCGTCTCCAGCGCCATGCGGACATTCTCAATCGCCCACTCCTCCATGCCAGTTTGCGTCTGTAGCCATAGCATTAGTACTGAGATAGATCACCACGATTATGATAGTAATGGAACACCCACCTCAACAGTCCAAGTACCCATATGCGGCACCAACAAGACATTCGGATTGCGGACCAAACCCGGATGCACCGTCGGCTCCTCCTCAAAGACATCCAGTCCAGCCGAATACACCTTCCCACTATCAAGCGCCTGCACGAGCGCCTCCTCATCCATAACAGCACCGCGCGCAGTATTAACAACCACGACACCATCCTTCATCTTGGCAAACTCAGCCGTGCTGATAATATGGCGAGTATGTTTCTATCCATCGTCAGCACATACATATCCCATCCCATCCCATCTCGTCCCTACCCAAAGGACATTGACAATGGGGGGATAATATTACTCACATTCAACGGCAAATTCAAACTAACCACATCACTCTCCGCCAACAACTCATCAAAACTGACATACCTAGCCCCATCCGCCAACTCCTCACTCAGCTTCCTCCGATTATGATAAATCACCTGCATCCCAAACGCCTCCGCCTTCTTCTTCAGATTCCTCCCGATCCCACCCATCCCCAGGATCCCCAGCACCTTACCCTGCGGATCATGTCCCAGTCGCGGCGCAGGCTGGCCCCGCCACTTGCCCTCGCGGAGGGCGTGCATGCCCGCGTTGAAGTTGCGCAGCGCTCCGATGATCAGGAACATGTTTACATCGGCGGTGGCGTCGTCGACGGCTGTGGGGACGTTGGAGATCCGGATGGGGGTTGGGGATCGTGCGCTGCATGCGTGCGGGTCGATTTGGTCGTAGCCGGCTCCTGCATTTTCATTTCATTTAGTAACAGTATAATCGTTTCGATAGTGGTGTCTAGAGGGATTTATAGTGTATTGTATGTTATGGTTGGCATACCGCAATGAGCCAAATACACCAACGACTTAGGCAACGCATTGACGAGTTCCTCGTCAACCAGACCGGTGATTTTCACGCTGTCGAAGGTGCGGTATGCGGCGATGACGCCGTCCAGGGCGCCCGATTGGCATTCTTGGATGAATTCGGTGCGGTTGGTCGCTGTTGGGCGGATTAGATCGGCGATGTCGGAGAGGGAGGACCAGGTTTTGTGGGCGCTGTAGATGTTATTTTCGTTAGTATGTGGTTGTGTTTCGTGGTGGATGGAGGGGTAGTGTTTGGGTGCGGGGATGATGATGATGTGATTGATGTAGTGATTGGGGATGTAAACGTACTGGATGATGTCTCCGAGGAGGAGAACTTTGGGTTTGGGGTCGCTGGAGCCCATTGTTTTTGTGTTTGTGTGACTGATTGATTATTATCTTTGTGAGAGGAGAGGGAAGAGGACAGCAAGTGAGAGAAGTATTGGAGAGAGGTAAATGTCGTGGGGGTTGCCGAAGATAGACCCCTCGGGCGGTTATATACCGAGTGGGGGTGGGGATCCACGAAGATTACTATTTGGGGATCGGGAATTGGCTTACAGTGTTTGGAGTACTGAGAGGGAGTGAAATCAAGTGCCCGATAGGAAAGAAAAAATCAGAGAAGAATTGAAGGATAACAGTCTATACAGAACAGAGATAGGGAAATAACCCCCACGGCCCCGCTCCCGTTATCGAGTTGACACTTCGGCTTCATCTCCGGTTGGTGCGATGTAGAGTATACAAAGACATCAGTGGCTATAAAGACGACAGGGTGAGTCATATGAAACTCCCTCATTATACAAACTAAGTAACTATCTCCATAGAGTTTAGGGTGCGCCCTCCACCAACACGCGTGTCCAGTCGAACTTCCTCCAGCGCTTCTGAAAGCCAGCCACCCGCCGATCTCCACCGCGATGCCAGCGTCCCTGCCGCTTAATCACATCCGGCGCCAGATCCAGCATTCCTCCGATGACTTCTCGGGCGAAAAGATCCCCCCGAGGCCAGCGGTTCTCGTCCTCCACCACATGGCCCAGTCCGCCGTCTAGCTCAAACCATACATGGAAGTAGGGCATTTCCCGCGCAATCGACCGCCGGAAGGCACTCCGTCCCATACCTTGCTTGGACTTGGCTAGGGTGTCGATCAACTTGCGGTGCTGGGACCACTCTGCGTCCGAGGAGAGGATGGCCTCCTTGAAGAAGGCCGGAGATGTCTCTCCGAGACTGTAGGGCAGAGGGACCACTTCCATGGCAGCGTGTCGCTTGCGATGCGGCTGAGCTGCGTTCTCGTAGAAGATCACGTCGCGGCCCTGGTCATGATACATGCGGGTTAGACTCTTCATGAAATTCCGGATTTCCTCCCATTCGTCGTCATCGCACTCGAGTAGGTTCGTGCGGTGCTGGATGGGAACAATGGTGGCACAGCCCTCGTTGAGCTCTGGCTCCGTGGGAAGAGTGAGGAAGACCCGCGTTGCTAATGCTACTACGGGTGCGACGGGCGGCGTATTCGTGTCCTCGTGGTGGCAGAGAGGACAGTTGTCGAGGATGCGGTTCATCTTTTGCAGCTCGTTGATGGTGATGTTCTTGATGTCGATCTCGGATCGGTGCACTCTTTTGGCCAGCTTGGAGGCATTGTCGTCCATGTATTCCAGGTCATTCTGTCTACGTTAGCATTGTATTCGTGAGTTTGATTGGTAAAGTACTCACCTCAAACTTGGAGTCTTTGGCAATTCGCTCCGCCATACGTCGACCGTCACCTCCGAATTGCCCCCGGGTGCGACGCTCTTCCTGGACCATGTCCTCGATTGTCATTTCGTCGTTCTCCTCTACCTTGCCACGTTCACGGCCGCGCCGGTTATCAACCGCCTTCACTTCGTTCCGAGTGCCAGCCAGCATCCGGTTCTCCATGACGCCCAGAACCACCACATCGGATTCTTTCCGGTTTGACATGGCAGCTGCGGCTGCATTATAGCGCTCCTCGAGCTCGGCTGCATCTGGCGCGCGCTTGAGCTTGGCTTTCATCATTTGAGCCTTCAATCGGTTGAGAGCCGTCAGATCCAGATGTTGTGTCGTATTTGGCGGTGGCACAGTTTCCATTGGTTTGCCCTGGCCCTGCGCATCGAGTTCCTTGCCGGGACTGCGGAGATTTTCATGGGGATCGCGGTGGACATCCTCTTCCAGCTTTCTCTCCTGGAAAAGTTCACCCGTAGGCTTCTCCTTGCCCACGTAACCTTCACCGTACCGTTCGCGGCGGTCCAATTCTGCTTCTTCCTCCCGTGCATCATCAAACGATCGTAGGTCTCCAAACCGGTTCAAGGCGACCTCCTCGACCGATTTGCCAGTCTCTTCTGCCTCCCGATAGACGGCCTTGAGCCTAGTCATTCTCCACTGAGCACCCTCATCACCAAACGTATAGTCCACCTCATGCTGCGCTGGTTGTTCTTCAATCTCCTCCAGCACTTTGCCCTCCTTCAAATCGTGTAAATGGGTGTTGAGCTCCTTGCCGTGGATTTTCAGCTCAAAGTCCGCCTGCAGTATCTTCGGCTTTGGTTCCTCCTGCAAACGCGTTGTATTGCGTCGCTGGACGTAGTCGACATCGACTCCATCAGGCTGCATCCATGCATCCCTCTTCATGCGCGTTGGCTCCTCCTGTACGACTTCCTCCACCGGGGCAGGCGCGTCCGTCTCATCTCTGCTGTCGCGGTGTCGGCGCTTGTGTGCATGATCATGATCATCTCCATGGTCGGTCGAATGACGCGATCGCTTATGGCGATGTCCGTCGTCTTCGCTACGCCGTGAATCCCGGCGTCTCTCATGGTCGCGCTCTCTCGACCTGGACGAGCGGTGACGGCGGTGGTGGTGTCTGCGCTCTCGGCTGCGGTCACGATCACGGTCGCGGTCACGATCACGGTCGCGGTGATGGCGATGCCGACTCCTGTCGCTCTTCTCGCGTCTGTGTTCCTGCTCCTCCGCTAGCGATTTTTCGAAATCTTCGAGTGTCATTGTGATGGTTGAGCTGCTGAGGAAACAGAAATGAGGAAGAAGCGAAGAAAAGGCTTCGGACGGAATGACGTCTGGGCGGTCCAGACTCCACCGGAGCCGATCTCTCCATCCCCGCGACGCAACATTTTCCTTTTTCTTCGGCTCCCCGCTTCACTTGTTCGCCGTCAACACCATCCTATCCGGACTTGTCTGAAGCTTTTAGCTTGTCAAGCTTCACATAAACTACTGTCGAGTTTGATAGCTTTTCTGTTACCCATTTTTCATCATGGCGCAATCACCGGTGGCCGTCGTCTGCGTCGGCATGGCAGGTATGCCGATACTGCTCCCATCTCATTTCATCTTCTGACGAGCTCTTCTACCTAGGCTCCGGCAAGACGACTTTCATGCAGAGAATCAACTCGCATCTCCACTCGAAGAAGAAGGTTCCCTACGTGCTGAACCTGGACCCCGCCGTCTACTCCGTTCCCTTCGAGAGCAACATTGACATCCGCGACTCCATCAACTACAGAGAAGTCATGAAGCAGTACAACCTCGGCCCCAACGGCGGCATTCTCACCTCCCTCAACTTGTTCGCTACGAAGGTCGACCAGATCATCGCCCTGTTGGAGAAGCGCACTGCCCCGAACCCGAGCAACCCCTCCGCCAAGCCCATTGAGCACATCCTCGTCGACACCCCGGGACAGATCGAAGTGTTCGTATGGAGCGCATCTGGAAGCATTCTACTTGAGACCCTGGCATCTTCCTTCCCTACCGTCATCGCCTATGTCATTGATACCCCCCGCACCAGCTCCACCAGCACTTTCATGAGCAACATGCTCTACGCCTGCAGTATCTTGTACAAGACCAAGCTGCCGATGATCCTTGTCTTCAACAAGACCGACGTGCAGGACGCCGAGTTTGCCAAGGAATGGATGTCCGACTTCGATGCGTTTCAGCAGGCGCTGCGGGAAGAAGAAGAGTCGGGTGCGTTTGGTGCAGAGGGTGGAGCTGGTGGTTTCGGCGCTGGAAGTGGATACATGGGATCGCTACTTAACAGCATGAGCTTGATGCTGGAGGAGTTTTACCGTCACTTGAACGTCGTTGGTGTGAGTTCCATGACGGGTGATGGTATCGATGAGTTTTTCGCTGCCGTGGAGGAGAAGCGCCAGGAGTTCGAGCGTGACTACAAGCCCGAGCTGGAGCGCAAGAAGAAGGAGCGCGAGGAGACCAAGGCCGCCCAACGGGAGTTGGAGCTGGGCAAGCTGATGAAGGATATGAGTGTCTCCAGCTCTAGTCGTCAGCGCAAGGATGAAGCCGAGACCGTCAGTGAAGCAGAAGAAGAGGCAGAAGATGCGGCTGGCCAGGGAGGGTTTGACGACGATGACGATTCCGATGAGGATGGATATGGCGGTGCTCCCCCAGCGGGTAACGATGAAGGCCTCTCACAGCGGTACAAGGATGCGCTGGCAGATCAGAGCGCTCCTTCGGATGCGGATCACAGTTTCGCCAGATACCTGCGCAAGAGCAACATTAACTAGGAAGGAAAAGATCTCGCGGGACATGCATTTTGACTCTACATATATCGGTGTACGAAGGCGTTGATATTGGCTTATTATCATGAATCAATGATTAGAATTTAATTCAAAAGCATACTCTTCGACTGATTAGTTCTCAGTGGAGTTCGTAGATGGCAAAGTCCATAGTTCCAAATCCATCTAGCTAATATAAATTCCATTCCCAGGCCAATAGGCTCAAAGACAGTCTAATGACGTGGAACTGCATATCATCGCAGATTAAGTAGCCTTAAGATCTTGGCTCTACCGTTGCGGAACGGGACACCAACATCGTTCACGAGACCAGTCAGTCAGAACGCCATCACACAGCCAACCCTTTCAATCCATCCCACATCGCAATAATCCCTGCATTCAATCAAACCCGGATTGAATAACAAAGCACCGGTGCCTGGATTGCTGCGCTGGATGAGTCAGCCGTAGATCTGCAAACTGGGAATGAATGACATCATGGGCGCTTGAGCTAGCAATGACCTCACGAGCTCTACCTTATAAGACAGGTATCGCTCGGCAGTTCTTAGCTACTTCTCCAATTGTTGGTTCTCTTTACTCAATTTCAATTCTAAAGTTAGTACTACAGTTCATCACGAACAACAAACAGAAGCATATCAGATCTACAGCCATGGACGTAAGCTAAACCAACCCCCTTCCCCCCAAACTTTTCACAAGCTAACACCATGAACAACAGGTTTTCTACGCCTACACCTACTCAACAGCGGGCTGGCTCTCCCTCCAGAGCGTCGCCCTAATCGCTGTCCCGGAAATGATGACCACAATGCTCGAACAAGAAAGCAGACAGCCAACCTGTACCTACCCTCCTTCCACTCACCATTCTTCAACAACCCAAACTAATCCAATTCAGCAATCGAAACTTACCTCTCTCGCTGTCTGGGCATGGGCCTCCTCACAATCGCCATCCTAACCGTCATGCTGACCGGCTCCATCCCCCTCACGGCGTCCATCACCGATCCCGTCACAACCGACGACTCCGATCCCAAGGCGCCCTACGCGGTGCCGACAATGCAAGTGACCACCGTTTTCCACTTTATTTCGGCCGGGTATGCGTACGCCTGGTTCGCGGATAAGGGCCAATTGGCGTTTGGAGTCGGGATGGTGGTGTCCGGGGCGCTTGCTTCGTTGGGTATCTGGTGTGCGCTTTTTGCCAGCAGTAATGGGAAGATTAGTCGGAAGACCGGGGCGGATAAGAGGACTACGGGGTTTCCCTTCAAGAATAGGGAGGCGGAGAAGAAGCATGGGAAGGGGTTGTAAGGGTTTTTGATGTGGGTTCGTTGGTGATGGATGGTGTTATTTAGGTGTTGTTGATGTTGATGGTGATGGTTGAAGGAATGGTTCGAGATGGGGAGATACTACTGTATGCATTAACTGCATAGTGCTGACATTGCACAAAATGAATAAAACAACCAAAGATATTATGTGATTGATTTATCAGCTAGCAGGTAAAAGGACTTTATCAGGAGTTCATCTGGGTATGGGTAGGTAGGTAGCAGCCTTAGCTTAACGCTGAGCCAAGCACTTAACACAATAAAAGTAGGGACGCGTACATACTCCAAATCCTTCTCACCAACCAAATCCCGAACATCAGACATGTCTAACAAAGTCCGCATCCTATCAACGGGGCATTCCAGCTCTGATATATCCTCCAAAGTTATAATACTGTTCACGCTAAACCCAATCCACATGAGAATTAGAGGCATATGATTGGCCCACTCGCTAATGACATCATATGGGCGATACGCTATACCCGATTAAAGATAGTGCGATATCTATATCTCAGAATAGATCTTTCGATAGGGCATGTTTTCACGGTGAGAATTAGAGAAATTGGGCGATGGGAGGGTATAAAGAGGTGAGCAGGAGAGGGAGGATGGATGGAGAGAAGCAGAATTTTATCCTTTCGTTATTCGACTATTGTCCTTCTTTCTATACATCTATCTGGATTCAGTGTGCAGTCGCTCGTTACGTTCATACTTTTCTCTCTATATCGCTACTACTACTACTTCTATACCTCTGAGAGGGTTATACTTCAACTGGAATACTTCCAAGTTCATCCAACTACGGGTATATATACTGCTGCAGAACAGTGGGTTTCCCACGCACTCACCCTAAACACTGGCAATCTCTAACCCTCACCTCTAACAGTTCCCACTACTATCTGCCTCGTGCACCACCACCTCTCCCTCCCACACAAGAAAACAAACAAAATGGTCTACATCGCCAAAGAAGCCATCATCTTTTTCGTCATCCTCGGCTGTGTTGTAGTCTCTGTCTTCGGCTACTCCATCCATTACCTTGCGACTAATGGGTTCTACGGTGAGGAGAGGAACCTCGACTTCCCTCCAGAGCAGAGGATATACATGCGCCAGTTACGACTAAGGGATTTGCATTGGATGGCGAGAGATAATGGAATCAAGATTGCGAGTAATACGTCGCCGGTGTAGGGTTTATGGTCTAGTCCTTCCTATCTCGGGTTATGGTTATGTGTGATGGGACATTGATGGAGTTTTATGGTTGGGGTTAGGGTTATACTTGTTGCTTGTTTGGTTTATACTGGGTTTTGGAATAGAAATGCATTTTTGTTATTAGGATATAGCTGGATATTTGCATGAAGGGTATTTTGTTTTCAGGATAATGTTCATCTGTGTCTTTAAGATTTATCAATGCGATTTCTCACATGAGATACTAGTATTATTCATCATCACATTCCGACTCCATATAGTACAGTGATGGTTCTGAATGATGTATTCGAGCATATCATTTGATGATCAAGAGATATTCAACACCAGTAGACGTAAACAGGGTCGACTCATCTCACCAGAAATATCTAGTAGCAGGCTTCGCAACTATAGCCATTGCTTTCCGCTTGCTAGATAACGCACAAGCTAACCATAACGACTGCTCAGCAAACCATACTGATACAAATTCACCATGTAATGAACGAATATATGCAACTAGCCGAACATGATGCTCGACCGCCACAGCCCCTTTACATCTAGATCCTCCTCTTTCCATGTGATAGTAGTCACCAATAGATACTATACCAAGGCACTCTCACATAACCAGCCCCCAATCACTCATAAACCAAATGCCACCCACCCCCCATCCACCACCCAACTAACAGACCCCCCAGCAACCACCCCCGACGCCCTATCAATAGTAACATCCGGCCCCTCTGGCGTTGGTAAATGTATACTAATTAAGAAACTATTCGAAGCACATCCGGACACATTCGCATTCGGTGTCCCACACGACCCGCGCACCACGGGCCGACGAAATCCACAGCAAGAGCTACATCTTTATAGATAAGCCGATGTTCGAGGAGCTCATATCTCATGAAGCCTTCGTGGAGCATACCACCTTCGGCGGAAACCAATATGGCACGAGCAAGAGGGCAATACAATCTCGGATAAAATGGAGTAAGGCCGGGTGGTTGTGCTAGACATCGCGATGAACGGTGTGAAACAGGTTAGTATCGATGCTCGTTATGTTCTTATTGAAGCCACCGAGCTTTGAGGCGCTCGAGGTACGGCTTCGGGGGCGTATAGTGAGTTGGAAGGGTTTGTGCTTGCGGGTAAGGGTGTGTAGTACTGTTGGATATGATGATGTGTGAGATGTTGCTTTGTTGATATGTTTTATGGGATACAGAGAGGTAGACAGACATAAAATGCTGCAATGTGTTGCTAGCCATGCAAGCCTGCCTTTTAAGTCCTTAGGTATTCCTACGACGTCAAATACTATTTGAAGAGGCCTTGGCCGGTTTCTACCATTACTGACCCTCTTAACACCCATCCCCCTCTTAACATAACCGAAAGAACTAGCAACCAGATGCAACAAATTCATATCTCATGCTCATAACTCATGCATACACCCTCAACCCCAAACCACAGAAACAAGAGTAAAAAGATAATCAAAATCACCAACTCCCCAAACACCACCGCTATACCCACACAATGCAAGAATCACCCTCAGAACAACTTCTCCTCGACATCCCTCTCATCAAACGGATCTCCGAATTCATCTATACCATCCAATAATTAGCACATCTCAACCCAACCCATACTAACTCAGCCATGGAAGACCATATATCAACAACATACCCAGATTGAAATCATGATCAACCACGTACTCCATCGCGCGCTGATACTCCTCTTCTGCCCTTTTATTCATCCACGCTGCGCCCGGCGCATCCATCTGCTGTGCCTGCTGCTGCTGTTGCTGTACCTGCTGAGTTGTCTGCGTCGCGAGCGGAGAGTCAATTAGGCTCTGGTTGAAGGCCATCTGTCCCTGTGTGTTCAGAGTAGCGGTTTGTGTTTGAGAGCCGGGCGGGGAGAGTTCTGAGCCGCCGAAGGGAGGAGGACGCGGGTTGGTGAGCTTGTTGGTTGGGGTGCGGGTACCCGGGTGAGAGTCTTCGGAGAGGCCATGGGATGATTCCGGGGAGGAGGCCATTTGAGAGTCGCCGTCTGGGTCTGTGATGGTTGGTTATGGTTAATAAGGTGTGTGGGTGGTGGGGAGACAAGTGGAGGTTGGTTGTATGTGATGCAGCGGGGAACTGTGTGGAGGGGCTGGTATGAGCACAAACCGGTAGCCATGATATATGATTTTATCAAGTAGGTAAGGTAAGGCAATCACTCAAGCAATAGACGAAACAGAAAACAACAAAGCGAGACAATTCGTTGATGTGCAGTTGAGATGGAAGTGTATGATCGGGGATAAGTTTGAGGTCGGCGATCTTAACTAAGCACAAGGCGGCAACCGCCATTTTCCTCCGCTTTTCTGAACTCCTCTTCCAACTAGACGATTTTCTTCCCCTCGTCTTACTTACCCCTCGGTCATTCTCTCCTTTAAACTAAGCCACCCGGCTAATACATTGGACTTGTTCTTTTTGGTTTACTTACTAGACTCCACTGACTCTGGGTCACGTCGTTCACTCGTTCAGAACCTGTTTTACGCGCTATAGCGATATATCCCTTGGCCATGAGCGCAAAGCCCTCAAGTGGCCCCGACGCCTGGGAGGAGGACTGGGAGAGTCAGGCTGATGTATGTGCACACTACCTTCGCACGCGGCCGTGCGACTACCTTGATCCTCTGGCTAATTGCTCTCCTAGACTTTCGCTGCAGAATCCGCCCCGCCTCCGCAGGAGAAGAAAGTCTCCTCGAAAGTCACCAAGGCCCAGCGCCGAGCCCAACAGGCCGAATTTAACCGCCAGCTATGGGCCGAGGCGTACGTATACCACTTTCATGACTATGTGGACGTTGCCTGACCTTTTCCCGCTACAGAGAATCTCCTCAGACGTTTCATTATCTAGAGGCGCGGTCGAATGTCCCGCTCAAGCAGGAATTCAAGCCCACCGTCACTGTTCTCAGTCGCAACCCACAAATAGCTACGCGTCAATCATCTTCAGTAGACGCTGCCAGCGCCGGTATGAGAAGACTGGGGTTGAACGAGGATGACGACTCTGATGAGGATAGACCGCCTCAGCCCACACCTGAGGAGCGGCAGGCTATTGCGCTGCGCAATCTGGAAGAGAAGCAACGCAAATATGAAGAAGTCCGGGAGAGGCTGTTCGGTAGCCCGTCTGCCCCTACTTCCGGTGCGTCGTCGCCACGCAGTGCTACCCCGCCTAAACAACACGAGGGCCGAGGCAAAGGGAGAAGCCGTGGCAATGGGCGAGACAACAACCGTGACAAGCGGGACTTGTCTGCTGCATCCGGAAAGTCTAAGCAGCTCTACGATCCGGGGTCTCCTAAACCGAACTCGAGCTTTGGGCCGCGGAGGGAGAAGCAGGGCAATGTCCGAAAGGAGGATGATTCGCAGTCTCCGAGGCAGCCGATCCGCAGTCCTCGTGGCCCTGATAGCAGCGGAAGGGGCGGGTTTAGAATGGGCCACAGGGGTGCCCGTGGAGGGTAGACTACGAAAACGAAACAGCTATCCCTCATCAAGGATTGGCGCATCGCGCCTGTCTGTGTTGGTGGGACGCGACTCCGGGTCGCTGCTCAGAATAGTATTATGATGCTAGATGGTATAGCAGTGACCTGCAACAAGCTAGGGAAGGCCCCTTCCAGAGTTGATTGCATTGGCAACCTGGGACGTGTTTGGACGGTTTTCTAAAGACGTCAGCTTGTGATCGCGTTGTATCAGCAATCCACTTACGAGCGTATCGCTCATAACTATCCAGATAGAGCTCATCGGTGCTCGTGGTTGCCTGGATGTGCTCATTGTTCTCAATAGCGTCGACCCAGGCTCCCCAGCGACTGCCAGGCTCCGGGTCTGGCCACCCACGATAAGGCTTCAAGGCACGGCGCAAGCGGATAACCCAGGGAGCGACCTGGACATCAACGAACGAGATCTGAGCGCCCAGAAAGAACGGGCCCTGCGCATCTGCGGCGCCGACTAATGTGTTGAAAGCATCTCGGAGCTCCTGTGCATTGGCTATTTGCTTCTGTGTGTCTTGCTCTTGAAGAACACGGTAGAAGTTTGGGACGATGTGGCGGTTGATCTATGATCGTCAGAAGTGAAAGGGATGATAAGCACGGGTGCATACAAAATCCGTCCATAGTCGGCAATGCGCCCTCAGCTTGGCGTCTCCGGGTGGAAGCAACGGTGTCCCAACATTCAGATCCTCCAACTAAGGCCATGTTAGGATTGGATCAAGTTGGTTCAGTGGCGCAGGGTTAGAGACTTACGTATTCCAGCAATACGGAGCTCTCGTATGAGCCCCAGTCCCCATGCCGCAAGGCTGGAACAAGTCCCCTGGGGTTCACGTCCAACAATGACTGGGGCTTTTTATAGGGGTCAACTTCAATATACTGGTAGGGTATTCCCTTGATCTCAAGGGCAACCCATACGCGCTGTACGAAAGGGCTAGCAGTGGTCAGCACTGGCGATGTATATAAGCATATAAACTAGAGTGAACGTACCAAAAGCAACTTCCATATAATTTCAGTTCATTGTCTTGTGAGCGGTGCGCGACTGTCTGGGCAGCCAGGCCGGTGGCTTTGGTATGGTACTGTTTCTGAATTTGATTTTGGGTAGCCATTACTCTAGTCTGTGCGCAGTGGTAATTAGAAGGGAGATTAATCAATCGAGTCCTAACCGCAGATGGAGCACGCTTGGATAGATTGCCAAACAGCAATGGTTTCAAGACAGGAACGGATCTTCGGAGCATAATGGATGGGAAGAGAAGTTGCAGTTCACGAGCGGGGAAGATAATCGGCGATAGGCACTTCTCCGCCGAATGACGTAACACGTTTGTGCCAGGATCAATCAACAAGAATATAGAAACGAACTTACATTTAGTAACCTCTTCTCCTTCTTCACCTCCTGCAATAAGAACCGCTGCACACTATTCTTTTTCACGCGGTCACTATCCTCCAGCGTATGACGATGACCACCACTCACACCATCGTTCTTTCCGTTCGCACCATTCCCATTTACTCGCTGGATAGTAAAATACCTCTGGCCGTTGACCCCTGGATGACCCTCTGGTAGAGGTGGGTTCAGGCTCGGCGTTAATAACCCAAACTGCTGGCCTTGAGCCTGTTGTTCCTCTCGGACAGCAGACTCCTGGAGTACTGGGCCGGGGACGCCAAGTCCATCAAGGACACCTAGATCTGACCCCATAACATCGTGGCCCGGGAAGTACTCTGTGATCTTAATTTTTACATCACAGAGATCCCGCTGGCGGGCAGTACGCTTACGTTTCTTTTTGTTGGGATCATTGGATTTCGGTGTCCCTGGAGGTCGACCTTTCAGGCGACAGTCCCAGTAGTGGGAAATCAGCGGTTTGCGTTTGTAGTGTTGAGTTGACCGGTGGGAGTAGACGTTGTCGATGTGTGGGAAGTATGTAAGGAATCTGGGACTTATCAACAAGGGCATTGTATCTGCAGGAAGCCATGGAGAAACGCACTGCTCCTCACTTAGAGTTATCATCTCATCGACATTGAAAAGCCGTTCTCGCCATGCATCAAGGTTCGGTGGATCAAGAATGGTGCGGATGTCGACATGTTGGTCGGGTCGTTTTACGAGAGATTGAAGATGGGGTTGTTGATGATGGTATTGATGATGAGACTGGTGAGCTTGTCGAGTGTAGTCGAGCTCTTCAACGGCACATTGTAGACCGTGGAGCGAGTCATCGTCAATGCTAACTTGGCCTTGTCGATGGGTTGGAACTAGGTGCGGGTCCTGGTGGGCAGCTAGGGTCGACGCGTCTTCGGCAACTGATGTCAGGGAAGGATGGAGGAGAGTCGAGACTGAAGGGTTGAGTGTTGTATCAGCCTCGGAAGGGATCGAATCATGGTTCATAGTGGTGGAGAAGCTGCTTCGATATTGTATGCTGAAAGATAGTGACGCTGCTTTAAAAGTGTGGACGGACGAAAAGGCGGGGGTTGAGGCGGCGATTTGTTGGCGGATGGTTGCCGAATTCGGCATAGCGGGTCACGATCGGAGATTGTTTTGGTCTGGACTTTTTTTGAAGTTTTCCCAAAGCATTTACTTCGATCCAACGTGATTTCCGGAAGATGCGCAGCACTCTTTAGGCAAATAGTCTTTTTAGGTCCTGGTTATTGTTCATCTGTGCTCGCTTGAAAGAGGGGGAGATATGGAATTATAGTCGGGTGAGTCTCATCCTCTTTGCCCTGACAGTCTAACGTGGAGCTTAGATGAATATCTTGGTCATCATATTGTGTCACTTTCAAACTTGCAGGATAACTGGACTACAAAGTAGCTCGTTACAGAATCCCTCTTGAATATGGTGTATATCTAGTTCATTGCTTTTGAAGGCACTGAGCACTTATGTATGTCCTGGCTGACACTCAAATTAGTATATATTTCCATTGGCAATCAATTTACAGCCTCTCAACGAACTAGCGCCGATCTCATATCGCAGTTAGGACTATTGCAGAGCCATCATCATCATGCCAGTTCTACCATGGATTATCAGTTCAATTAGAGTAGCTACTGTCACAGTCACATAAAATCGTGATCGACCCTGGTTTAAACCCGCTGAGACGTTCTTGTATCCCTCCTGGCTTATCAAAAAAAGCGGGGAGGGAGCGCATTGGGCGTTCTCATCCTACGACACTCAGTGGACCCCAGAAAGATCCACTTGACACCATTGATGGTTGAGGTCCTTTGAAGGCAGCTTTCACCCATTCATGCCTGTGGGTCCCTATTACAATTCTGCACACTCAATTACAGTATTACTAGCGTCGTGACCGTCCCCACTCCCTGGTGCTGGCCTAATACTTGGCTGTACTCCGTAGAGTCTGCAGAAACACCCGCGGCCAATAATATCGGGTGATGATGAGAGGCTTTTCATCTGAGTTTGTGAAAGGGGTCCCTACAGAGTACAAACTGATCGCTTCCGCTAAGTTTTCGATATAGTCCTTTATACATTCGACTTCCTATGTACTCCAGGAAGGATCTGACCATGTCACCGAAATATGCATTGCCATATTTCCAGTTGCAACCTGTCTAGCTATTCCCACAAACGTCGAGTCGCAGTCTCGGCAAATAGTATGTCATCCAATCCAGGTGCCTGTTACAGGACTAGCATATGCACGACTTCTGATGGGCCAAGATTATTGATTGGAGCCCTCAAAAGTTGTCCAAAATGACTACAGAGTATTACCAAATTCCGCCGATTGAATTATTCAGTACCTGTCGCGCCGATCCATCAGAGCAGATATGCCGAGGAACAAATAATCTTTGATTTGGATTTCCCGTTGTCAGACATGTTGGTCACCCTCACTGTTTAGTATAACAAGGAGCATGTTGTTCCGCTTTTGACGATCGAGACAACTGCGATACCGGTGATTATTCGTTCTCGGCGATACGCCCCAGCCATTACCGCCATTAACATTAACCCGCAGATCAAAGATGCCTGATTTAGGCATAAGGCCCGTACGGAGATGTGCGCCAGAATTGTGTTAGTCTCGTTAAGTGCTCCTCTGATACTCCCCCTTCTTGTTGATCTATTCCTGTTTGACTCCACACTTGAGGAGGCATTTGTCGTTGCAGATTTTCATCCGCCTCGACGCTTTGGAGCATGCTTTGCTTTTAAATTGGGGAGGCACAGTATTCAGATCGAATTAACAAGGAGAAGGACTAAACAGAGAAATCAGAAAAAATAAATTCCACTGTGGCATGAAGAAAAAGAACTGCTAGATATTATAAGACCACCGCGGGTTACATGCAGGCGAATAGTTTACAATGGGGAAACATTCTCGTAACGGCCTACATGAACCCGGAAAACGAACTATATTTCAATAAATCGAACACAGGCCCCATTTACTCCCTCCAAAGTTTGAGAGAAGTTGTGATGGCAAACGCGAATGTTGGTGCGATGGTGGAAGGGACTGACAAAACCAGCCGTGATGCCACCACCCTTACCCGGAACGCGCCAAGGCCCTCACAAAAGTGGTAGTGTGCCCACAAAGCCATTGTCACCATGAAGAATAACCCGGATACTACTGTTATACCATGCCAGCGATATGAGGCAGCAGTATAGTGAGCATCATGAATTTCTCTATCTTTCTTAAGCTGTGCTCGAAGCGGTGGCCATGAAGTTGGTGGACGACAGAAACGCAGAAAAGTTTGGTCAACGCAATCGATAATCTGGCATTCTGGTGTTGACTTGAAAACTAAATAACATGAACTGTGATTTCCCGTTTTCCTCTCACACCTTGATTATTCCATCTCTCTTCTTCTTTTACGATCCTCCTTTTCCCTCTGTCAATGAAATTTCACATACCTTGACTAACTCGAAAACATTGCGATATAGATAGTGGGGCATTCTGGTGAGCCGTGAACATATGCCGAGTAACCGGTTTATCTTTTAGCATCATGAAGCAGCTGGTGCCAGTCAACACTTCAAGGAATGTCCTCAGCAAGCCACATAACGAGTCACG